AACATGAGGACAGCGATAGGGAAGAGGGGACACAGGGGTCACAGCAGATGGGAGGGGGACATGGAGGTGGCGGGGCCAGGGGGGGATGGGGATAGCAGGGACGAGGACAGTGGGGACAAGGGTGGCGGCGTGGGGATAGGGACAAGGCTGGGCGTACAGGGACAGGGAGGGGACAGGGGAGGACGGGGACAGGGCCGATGCCAATGCAGGTACCCGCACGCCTGGGAGCTGCCGACGCTGATCCGGGTGAGCATCGAGAGCGGGCGCATGACGCACCACCACCCCACCGGTGGGTGCCAGGCAGGGGGGGGCAGGGGAGCAGGAGACACTGGAGTCCCTCTGAAACCCCTGTCCCCGCAGGGTACCTTGGGGCACTGGCGGTGGCCCTCTTTGGGGCGCTGGGGGCTCGGGGGGAGCCCCCAGAGCGCTGGGGGGCTGAGCTGCTGCGGGACCTGCCCCTCGCATGGGACTACGTGGAGGGCGCCGGGGTGGCCGTGGGGGACAACGCTGCCGCCTGGCCCTTCTTCAGGGATGCCTGGCACCGGTGAGGGGGTACTGGGAGGGTCCTGTGGGGTCACTGGGAGCACTGGGAGGGGTTGGTGAGATTACTGGGAGGGGTTCAGGGGGTCACCGGTGACACTGGTGCCCGCAAGGCTCTCTCCCAGTCCTGTCGGTGCACTGTACTGGTGCCACTGGTGTCACTGCTCTGCCCCAGTGCCTGGATGGTCCCAGCGTCCCCTGCCCCACTCTCACTGGTGTCACTGCTGACCCTGGTGCCCAGCCTGTCTGCAGGGTCACCAGTGCCCATCCTGCCCCCAGTGTGCCCCTGTCCCCAGTGTCCCCACCAGTGCTGCCATCCTCAGCTGTGGGAACGCGGCCCAGGGCCACCCCACACCCCCACTGACCTCAGTGTCCCTGGTGTCCCTGGTGCTCTTGGTTTCCCTAGCGTTACTGGTGTCCCCACTGCATCCACTGCCATGGTACCCCCAGGTGTCCCAGTTGTCCCCAGTGTCCCCACAGGTACCTGGTGTCACAGGGACTGCTGGAGAGCCACAGCCCGGTGACCCCCCAGTGTCGCTGGTTACCCCGTTGTCACTGGTGACGCCAATGACCCCAATGTCCCCAGTGGCACCAATGTCCCTTGTGACCCCAGTGTCCCTATGTCTCCAGTGTCCCTGCTGACCCAGCGTCCCTGGTGATCCCAATATCCCCAGTGACCCCAGTGTCCCCCTGTCCTCAGTGACTCCAGTGTTCCCAGTGACTTCAGTGTCTCCATGTCCCTGCAGGTACCTGGAATCCCGGGGGCTTCTGGAGGGTCGTGGCCCACCGCAGGTGCCATCCCTTCCGTCACCGGCCGAGCGGGATGCAGTGTACCTGGGCTGGGCGCTGGAGGGGTGGCCAGGGCGCAGCGGCCATGACGCACCCATGGTGGCCCTGGAGGCCCTGCTGGCAGCCGGTGGATGCTGGGGGGACCTGTGTGCCAGGGGGGTGCTGCACGGTGGGGACAGCGATTCGACGG